TTTTAAAAAGCAAGCGCTTAAGATTCTTCTTTTTTTTAAAGATGGACTCATTATCTTTATTTTATTTATTTATTTATGTGGTGCTGAGGATCAGACCCAGTGCCTCACATGCTGAGCGTTAACCCCAGCTCCAAGGCTCTTCTTTTTGTATTGCTAAATTGCTGGAGCTGGTCTCAAACTTGCAATCCCCTGCCTCAGCCTCCTGGGTAGCTGGGGTTACAGGTGTACGCCGATGCGCATGTGTAGATCCTTCTAACTTAAACCAGAAAGACCAAGACCGTGAGGCAGAGGTGTGTGTAGGGTGCATGCACTGAGCATTCATTGAGCACCCCACTGTGTACCAGGTGCTGACCTAGACTAGTTTCTCTAGTGCTAAGGGTCCACACTGGGCCCGCACTGCCAGGGTGAGCACAAGACCTGCCTCGGGTCTCCTTTCCAAGTCGGCTTCGGGGTTCATCAGCTTTCAGCCTCTGCCCTGGGCCTTCCTCCTCTCCCCGCCTTCCTGGGCCTTTTTCTCATTCTAAGCCGTGTCAGTCTCCCGAGATCCTGGAGGTCTCCTCCTGCTCCTGCTCCCTCGGGGCTCCTCTCACTCCTTCCCACTCTGCGTTCTATTTTTCCCTTCTTTTTGGCACCAGGGATTGAACTCAGGGCTGCTTGATCACTGAGCCACACCCCCAGCCCTTACTATTTTTCATTTTGAGACAGGACCTTGCTAAATCGCCCAGGCTGGCCTTGAACTTGTGATCCTCCTGCCTCAGCCTCCAGAGCTGCTGGGATTACAGGCGTGCTCCATCTTGCCCAGCCTCTCCCCACTGCTCGCTGACAATCCCATCTCCTCCCCTTTAACCAGGGAGGTAGAAGAGACCCCGATTGCCACATGGGAATTCCAGAGCTCCAAAATACTTACCTGGATCTGTCAACTCCCTTCCTGCAGGTCCTCCTGGCCACCTCACCCCCGGCGGGCCCCAGTTTAAAGAGCAGTATTTACCCTTCTGGTCCAATCCCCGAATTCCTACTTCAGAGTAAAAGGAAATCTCAGAATTTCTCATTGAGCAGCTGTACAGCTTAGGGAGGGAAATGAAAGGCTGATGCCACATTTCCCAGGTTCGAATCCCAGCCAGCAATGTGCTCGCTGTGTGACTTTGGACAAAGTATTCTTAACCTCTCTGTGCAGTAGCTGCAACTACTGAGACCAGAAGGGAGAGGCCAGAGGAGCTGGGTGTCAGGGAGGCCCAGGGGGGCCTGCTGCCTGACAACAGGGGACACTCCTGTCCCTCATGCCCACTGACCCCCAGAACTCCCTGGCGGGAAGGAGGGACTTCCTGCAGCCAGGACTCAGTGGTCTAGAAACAGGTGCAGAGAGGCCCAGGCTCTGGTGGAAGGGCCTTTCCCTGGCACACCTACTTGGCCTTCTGTTGAATTCCAACACAGAGTTACCTCTGCTCTTCCTCTATGCACAGAGAGACTTGGGTAGTGGAGGACTGGCCACAGTGGGGTGCGGTGGCCACGCCTGTAATCCCAGGGGCTCAGGGGGCTGAGGCAGGGGGATGGCAAGATCAAAGCCGGCCTCAGCAGCTTAGCAAGGCTCTAAGCATCTCAGCGAGACCCTGTCTCTAAATAAAATATAAAAAGGACTGGGGAGGTGGCTCAATTGTAAGTACTCCCCCCTCCAAAAATAAAGGGAACTCAGCCACCAAGACGGGCTCGGGCTGGGAGACCAGAGTGCCACTCAGTGTGGCCTCTCAGCTGCCCCGGCCGGGTGGCGAGCTGCTCTCCGACTGTCGTGTGATCCAAAGCCAGTGCGTCCTGGAAACTTGTGTTCCCCGCAGCTCTGCCAGAGAGCTATACTTAGCCCCCAGTGGAGGCCCGGGCTGGGCTCTCCCAATATAGACAGTCACCAGGGGGCTATTTCCCAGCATGGAGAGCACCCCTGGAATATTTCTGGGCCAAAATGATATTTATAGAACCCCCTGGGCTTGTGGAAAGGAAGGAATGATTTTAGTGCCTCTTGGGCTTTGGGGAGAGGCTTCTTTCAACAGGGAGGGCAGGGTCAGGGGCCCCAGAGACCGCTGTCCCCACACACTGTCCCCTTGCTCTTGGTGTGCCCTGACCAGGAGCCCGCTCTCCTCCTGCTCCTGCCTGCGGGCGCACCTGGCACAGAGGCCTGGGGCCCTCCTGCTGGCAGAACGGCTCAGCCCCATTTCCTCTAGAGTCCCAGGGAGCTCTGGCCTCTGTGTCAGCCCAGGCAGTGGCCCAATCCCACTCCCGCCTTGGACAGAGGTCCCCGAAGCCTGGGCAGTGGGCGCTAAGGCCCTGGGAAGGAGGGGAGCCGTGGGCAGGAACCACTGGGTGGGGAAAGGAGCAGGCGTGGCGCCCAGAGCCCCCAGGGAGAGCCCACAGCCTCACCCAGCGCCAGTGCGAGGTGGGGAGGTGCCCCTCTGGTTGGCACTTAGCAGGTGCTGGAGAGGGCTCCGGAAACTGGAACCTAAACAGTGCCCCAGGTGGGTGTCTGGTTTTGCTAGGCAAGATGAGGAAGGGCCAAGGACCTAGCTGGACAGGCACAGGTGTCCTCAGGGGCCTGGCCGCTGCTGTGGCCTGATCTGTTGTGTGGAAAGTCATTCACTCCCATCAGTTCCCTGGCAGGTGCCCACGCTCTTCTACCCCTCTGCCAACCCGCCCTGCGCTACCCCTGCCCTGTGCCAGCCCAGATATAACCGTGAGAGCATTTTCCATGGGTGGGTACTGAAGGGAAAACATTCTGCTTTATTTTAGGCCTGTGAAATTCCCTTCCTTCATACCCAACAGGTGCAACTGCCTCATTTAGATGTGGGGCCCCAAAAATAGAACACAATCTACGCTATAGCTCCCTTTAGGCATCTGGACACTATTTTAAAAGCACCTTCCTGCAAGCCGTCCAGGCTGGTTGGTGGGAGCTCCTGCCCGGGGCAGGCTGGGGCCTCTGCCCAAGGTTGGCTTAGCAGAGGGGGGCCAGGGGCAGGTTCCCGTTCTCATTGCGTCCAGGGCCCAGGTGCCCGTCCACCCTCCCTCTGCCCTGACTGGGGAGTAAAGGGGAGTAGGGGAGGAAGGTGACTCTTTCCCAACCTTGGAAATGTTTCCAGTAAGTCCCACCAGTTGGAATTGACCACCCCCTTAGGCCCTTTCTAGACTGAGAAGAAATAAGGGCGTCAGATTCTCCCCACTCCTCAGATCTCATCAGGACCTGGTGGTCTTTGCAGACCCCCATCAGTCTTTGGGCTGAATGGTGACCCCCAAAATCCACACACTGAAGTCCCACCTTCAGTACCAGAACCGGCCTCTATGGGTCTGTGCAGATGTGACTGGCTGAGACCAGGTGGGGCTGGAGCAGGGTGGGGCCCAAGCCCTGGGACTGGGGATCTTACCAAGACAGAGGCCAGGTGAAGGCCGGGGCAGGGACCAGTGCTGTTGCTACCAGCCAGGGGCAGTAGGACAGCCAGCCACCTCCTGAAGCTACGAGAGAGACCTGGAGCAGTTCTCCCCCAGACAGAGGGCACCTTGACCGGGGACTTCTGGCCTCCAGAGCTGGGAGAGAATCCATTTTCCACTTGGCAGCCTCAGCCGAGTGGTGCATCCCCCGTTCAGCACCTCTGCACTGGGGCTGGGAGCCCTGGCCCAGGGCTGGGGACGAGCCGGCTGTCCAAGAGGCCTGCTCCCTGACCCTGGCATGGGCTGGTGCAGGCTGTGACTCTTGCTCTCCTGGGTGGGCTACTCTCTCAAGATCACCCTTGAGCCCAACATCAAGTTGACTTTCCCTGGGATGTCTCTGAAGCCCCTCAAAGGCCATAATTAAACCAGCTGCCCAAGACCCTGCAGGGCCTGGCCAGCAGAGCAAGCTGAATCTGCAGGTGGGAACACCCAGGCTGGACACTCACTGCCAATTTTGGCCTGGAGCAGCTGAGGGGCTGGAGGACCAGGCCCTGTGCGCGTGGTCCCAGCAAACCTTCCTGAGTGTTGTCTTATGTGGACACAGGCTCCTTGTGGGTGAGAGGGGAGCCTCTGCTGTGGCCAGGCAGCTCTTTCCAGGGCCAGGACAAAGGCCCCTAGCCATCTGAGGGCTGAGGTGGAGCTGCTGTGGCAGGCCACCTTTACCCAGAGCACAGCTCCCTGCTGGGAGGCCTGCCCCCGCCCCCCGGTCTGCCTGCCCCCCCC